CCCCAAAACCCCAAAACCCCAAAACCCCAAAACCCCAAAATCCTACAACGTGCTTGAAACTTTCTATCTATAAAACCAGTCAGAAAATTAATCATTAATTTCTATTTTGTAGAAGACAATGGCCGAACTTGTATTAGGAGTTTGATCTATATATGCGTATTGCTAAACTTTAAAATTGGAAATGCTCCGTCCTTCGTCTGCACAAGACAAAGAAAATTGACCAAATGATTCTGGAAAATTATGAAATGAAGTAAAAGAGAATGAAAGCCAAGGAGAAGAAAATAAAGAAACCCAGGAAGAAAATAAGCAGCTCGAGCTTAAAGAAAGCCAAAATAAGAAAAAGAGGAGCTTTGATATCAGGAGAAGAATTCCTAACCCCAGGTTAGACTGATTCATGATTGCACCTATTCAGTGATTTCTCCAGTGATCTGAATTTTGCAGAGATTTTTATATGAACGGTGATGATGGACTAGTTGACAATGATGAAGGTATTAAGTATTCCTGTCAAAATATTTCAGATAAATGCAAAGTTTCTAAAGAACTCAAAAGGATAATAGATTACTATTATTTGGAAGACGAGAAGCTTAGTTTGGAGCAATTTCGTCCTTTATATAATGAAGAATTCCCAAGAAGTAGCCAGCATGATGCATTAGAATTTATACTCTCCGTATTTGAGAGTATTCAAAGCGAAATTAATGGAGACAAAGCTCATTTTCCTTCATCTGGATACAAAGATTGAAAAGAGGCATGGAAACAATACCAGAAAGATCATATCTCAATTATTGATAAGCTCTTTGTTGGCATGTACGAGTCAACCTTCAAATGAGAGGAATGATGCAAGGAGGTTAAAGTTTATGAAGAATTTAAGACTATTTCTCTTTATTGTAATCAAAGCGATCCAGAAGCTAGCTTCAAAGAGTTCCTAGACTATCCAGAATCAACTGAATCTAGTCCGATGATGTGCCATGACTGCAAAAGCATCCAAAAATGCCAGATATCGAAGAGAATAGTGAAGTACCCGAAGTACATGATCTTAGCTTTTCAAAGATTTGATCCAATAAATCAGACAAAAATAAATGAAAAAATGAATTATGAAGAGGAATTCACCAGATATTGTCCCCTACTCGAGATAGATCTAAAGTATAAGCTTAAAAATGTGATAATCCATCAGGAAGGGGCCAATTATGACCACTATACGGTCATATGTAAGAGAGGAGGAGAGTGGCTATTCTTAAGAAATGACCATTTGGAGAATATAGAAGGATTTTCCAATGATGATGCATACATTTTATTTTATGAGACAGATGGCATAAATACAATGTAAAACTTTCAATTATTCTGATAACAATTGGGGTTTTGGGGTTTTGGGGTTTTGGGGTTTTGGGG